AATTTGGGCCCCCCCCCCCCCCCCCCTTTGTTTTTTGAAATTACCCACATTCGTTGAGTTCGTATGCTTTCCTAAAATGGGAGGGTGTCAAAATGTACAAATAATTTACTATTGTGATATTAGATGAAATAAATATTTACTTTTTAATGCAAATAACTAAATGAAGTTTTTCTTCCACACTGCAGTTGAGCGAGGCCTCATAGAGCTCAAGAAATTGGGAATTGAAACCCAATTATGGCAAGAAACTCGCCGGTCAATAGATCCAGAAAATACCAAAAAAATGCAAAAGGAAAATGATTTTTGACAATGAGTTGCTTCTCACTTACCAATTAGTAACTTTTTCCTCATCCCGTTTTGGCATGTCTCAGTTCAATTATTTATTAATTATTATTGCTTTTTAATAACTTTTGTTACAAAGTTTTTATTCATGTAATGATAGAAATACTATAAGTGCAGATTGAAAGTTTTCGTTACGCAATGCACAATATTGTATAATATACTAATGTGAATGTTCATGCAAATTTGAAATTATTTTAAGTGAAAAAGTTAAATAGAAATATATAGACAAATTACTATTATATGGTGAAATGTCCAAATTATGCCTCCTTAAAATAATATAACTCGACTGTTGTCAAATATAAAACCAAATTAGGTTGGGTTGACCCAATAGGGAATAAGGTGAGAACTAAGTCGTATATGATCATTATTTACTATTCGTTTTTTATTTTCGAAGGAAATGACAAAGTTTGTGAGAGTTCGAATGATTTTCAGTATCAATTTATAACTTGTAACTTTCAAAAATATTACTTAAACTGAGAATTTATAGAGAGAAAAACCATGATTGTGTTCACTAAAAGTGTTTGCCTTAATTCAGGTTAATATATAATTTCACTTTGTAATGCTAGTATTCTAGTTTATCAAACCCATGCTACATTTAACTATTTCTCAACCAAATTAGATGCATGTCACTTTTATTCTGGACTAAAAGTGTTTATCTCAAATCAATGACATTTACTCTGAATTGGTTAATCTTACTACATCATAAACCATTAGACATTTTTTGAATCTCGAATCCACGTTATTCACTCTTTTTCCAGGTTTTACATTTTTTTACTAAAACAAGTAAAATCTAGGAAAGATTCTAATATTTACAACCATTAGAAATTGATTAGTTCGAAAGAGTTAATAAGGTATACAATCACAATACACAGTTTATTCCATAAAAAAACCTTGTTTAGGTCATGTTCTCATGGATAAACTCTTGGTTGTGCAGTTTTGCCACTCATGATAATTGAAACAAATAATGTCATTTCATTTATTAAACAAGAATTTACATACAAAATTAGAGTAACCACGCAAACTTTGATTTTAAAAAACCAATGAAAATTCTAGAAGAGAACTCATTCAAGCATATTGTGTTATTCACTAAACACAAGATAATAAAATAAACCATAACAATACTATTTAAAATTTTAAGAAAATTTGAAATTAAAAATAATAAATCTGACCCGTTGAAGTGCATTTGACGCTTCGCCTGACGACCCATCACTTGTGCCTTCGTGCCCTACCAGAAATTGTGTAGGAAAAGCCTATGCGGTGGTCTGCCTGACGGTCCATTGCTGGTGTGACGGCCCGTCAGGTGGACCACTAGAATCTACTTTTTCACAATGGTTTTGTTTGCCTCTCACGCTTGCCCTGACGGCTTGTAGGAGGTGTGACATTCTGTCAATCCTGCCATCTGGCTCTCTTTTGTCAGATATAACTTATTTTTGCTTCTTGTCCCATTTTGACTGATTTTCTCTCTAACACCATAGAAAAATCATTAAAATGCACTATCATTTTTTAAGAACTAGTATTTATTTATAGTAAAAAACATAAAATGTTGTAATAACCCTCCAGGTCATTTATCTTTAATAAGTTATTTTTATCATTTAGAGCGTTCTTATAGAGATCTCAAGTCATTTATGACTTGTTGAGGATGATAGTTCGGTCACCTGGTCGTTCGTTTGGTTTTTGTATAAGTTTTTGTGTTTTGAAGCTTTTGATACTTGAAGGGTTGGCATTGGTCAAGAGTTTAGAAAGACTACCTCAGAATACAATTCTGATGGTTCCCTTAGCTCTGGAACGCCGATTCTGGTTTGGAAGGACCTTTAGTGCGGATCCAGAGGCTTCCCGAATCATCCTGATCCCCTTTGTGGAAGTTTTCTTAAAATGGAGTTTGGGTGTGAGACCCACTTTTCATCGAGACGAGCTCTTTTGGAAGTTTGACATCTCTATTGAGTCCAGAATGCTAAAATTTGTGAGGTAACATATCTCGTTTGCGTGCACTGGGTTCTGAATGAATCCCGAGCACCTTATCGAGGATTTCAAGTTGGGGGAAACTATTTGTTGTGCATTAGCTGGTGCAGCCTCATATTACTATTCCCATTCGCTAAAAGCTGGACATGTTTGTGGTGACTAGTGGTACTGGTTTCCGCGTTCACAGAGACCTAACATGCTGGTCAACGCATTTGTTGGTCTTGTGCTACGATCATGTAGGCCTAGGGGCCCAATCCTCTGTGATCGCATGCTGAAAATCATGTTCACAATAGGTTAGATTAGGGTCGACCTTTGGCGATCAGAAATTGGGTCCCGCATTCACGCATGTCATTTATTTGGTCTTTTAACTAAGGCTAGAGATGCGAACTAGCCTATTCTTGAAATTTCAAAATGAATTTTCTCGAGCTATACACCTTCGATTAAGGTGATGCAAGTTGATTTTTTCTTTTCAAAAAGTGTGTGGCTTCCTGTTAGAGTGTCTGAGGGAGTGCATGGAGCATTGAATTGAGGTAATTTTCATCCTGAAAAGACTACCCAATCCCCATTAATGGTGTTTTTGATTCATTTCTTGCATGATCTTTTTTTGAGCTGGTTTCAGAGCTTGAATTGTGTTCCATTTTTGGACACAAGTTCAATAGTCTATTTAGGACCATTTAACAGAGTTCAAACAAACGGTTGCAAAACTGAGATCCCCCATCGCTAATGATTGCACGCGGAGTGCCAAACCTTGTGAAAATATATCGCTTCAGGAATTACACAACGTTCTTTCCTTCATTGTTGAGTAAAGCTACAGCCTCTACCTATTTAGAAACGTAGTCAACCACCACCAAGATATACTTATTCCTATAAGAACTCACAAAAGGTCACATGAAGTTGATTCCCACATATCGAACAATTCTACCTCTAGAATAGGATGGAGAGGTAATTCATGTTTTCTCGACACTCCTCATTGCTTTTGGCATTGAACACACTATTTAACAAAATAGGGTGCATCTTGGCATAAGGTTGGCCAATAATAACCACTTTGGAGTACTTTGGCAGCCGTGCGTACCCCGCTAATGGTGCCCGCCAACTGGCAATGTGTCGCAAGCATCGAGAATTGCATTTACCTCGACTCCCGATACACATCTTCTGATTATGTGATCTGCGCATTGATTTTGCTCAACTACACTTCATCCAATTCTAAGTGTAGGCGATCACAATCTATTTAAACCCAACGAAGAGTTGGGGTCGATCCCACAAAGAGTGATATAGTAGAGAATTCAATTACGAAGTAAAGAAAGTGTTCTACTCATTTGTAGAGGTAAACATTATCGAAAATAATTCAATAAAATAGCAGGGGTAGACAAATAGTGTCACGTGGGGGATCAGAGTGACAGTTAACAAATATAAAAATAGGGGAGTAATCAAGTAGAGAAGGATTCTCGGGGATGTGATTGATTACATGCTCATTTCGCTATATGGACGATTATAATTTACTAAAATACGTTGAATCTTATTGGGTAGGCTAAGCTTTAGATGTAATAGACATCTCTCGATCAACTACTGATTACTGATGTTTCAAAGACACTTCATCCAATTCTAAGCATCAACGGTCGTTAATTAGTATATAACCCAACTAAATGAGTTGGGGTCGAATCCTACATGGTGCAATACGTGTTTAAGATTCAATGGTAAAGTGTGAACGTGGTCAAATCAGTCATAGGAATAGACATTATCGAATAAAAGTATAATTCAAATCAGGGGGTGACACGAATATCAAATAAGGGGGTTTTCGTTTTAATTATCAACTATAACAGCAACAAATAATACGAAATAACAATAATGAGACGGGTTCTTGGGATGTGATTCGATTATAGGCTAATGTAGACAAATGGGTAATTGCAACTACTAGAAAATAGCTAGATATTAGTGAATAAGTTAGACTATAGAGGAGGTAAACTTTCTCTCAAACAATTTACCCCGAATCAAGTTGATTTCTCTCGAACATCAACAA